GAATTTTGAACAGCAAAGCAAGTTTACAAATCAAGAACATAAATACTTATTTACCATTATTATTATGTAATACTCTTCAGATCATTTCATTCGCATCAATCATTCATTCAGTCTGTGAGTATAAAGTACATTTATTAATTATTGAAATTAAAGCCAAGTTCACAAATCAAGATCATAAATATTTATTTACTATTACCTAATATCCTTCAGTTCATTTCATTCGCATTAATCATACATTCAGTCTGTGAGTATAAAGAACATTTATTAATTATTGGAATTAAAAACAAGTTCACAAATCAAGAACGTAAATACTTATTTACCATTACTTGATATCCTTTAAATCATTTCATTCGCATTAATTATTCATTCAGTGAGTGAGTATAAAGAACATTTATAAATCATTTGAATTAGAAATAAGTTTACAATTCAAGAATATAAATACAGTACTTATTTACCGTCACATAATTCCCTTCAAATCACTTCATTCACATTAATTATTCATTTAGTGTGTGGGAATAAAGAACATTTATTAACGATTAGAATTAACAACAAGTTCGCAAGTCAAGAACATAAATACTCATTTACCATCACCTAATAACTCTCAGATCATTTTATTCGTATTAATTTAGCCAGTAAGTGTAAACTTTATTTACATTCAATACAAGTTTAAAATAGCATGACGGATTAAATAAAATACTATTATATATATTATATATTTGATTTAAAGCAACCCAAAATGTGCACATTGTAATGAAGATAAGATATTGACGATTGTATGAAAACATTCCAACTTAGAAGCTGGTCATAATCAAATGGATTCCATTTGAAGATTATCTGATGTACAGTAAATGAAAGTAGTAAAGGGGATTCGGTTCTATATATTCAACAATCTGATTAGAACAATTGAAGAGAATAAAATCGATGATAACAACCCTATTTCTATAAAAGATTACGTGAATCAAAAAGTACCGTTGCACCCAAGACCTTTAAAAGAAGTAAGCCAAATTTACTTATTAAACAATTTATTTAATACAATGAATTAATTATCTAATATAATTAATTATAAAGTTTGACAAGCATATGACATGTGTTATGTTTGGTAGTAACATTTAAATATACGGATTAACTCTAAACAATGAAAATGAATACTTGATGGTATTTCAATATGCTGATAATGGATGCATTTACAAATTTTTAGAAAAAATTTTCGTGATATTACCTGGCAAACTAAATTGAAGCTACTTTAATTAAATAAACTTTATAGCTTATATACTATTTATTTATAATACTTTGATATCTTTACCTATTTATTTTATTAATTAAGGTTTAAATACAGTAATTTAATTATGTATATATCAGAATTAGAAATTGATAATAGGTTTAAAATTAATGTATTTGATTTAAAATACTATATAATAGACATTTTTTTCAATGTAAGATATACTATAAATGTATTTTAATAAAAATTTTAATATTTAATTGTTTTAATTGAATAGAATGCATATTTTAATTTGATCTAATTTAGATTTTTAACTTAAATTTATACTTTGGTTTGACTTAAGGTTTCGGCTTAAGTTTTAAATTCAGTAAAAAAAAAAAAAAGTAAAAGGCAAATTATTATGATCTAACCTTAAATATTTTTTGCTTACAATACTTTAGGTGCTTAATTCCACTGGAACATGATCATGCAGGCTGGCATCGCAACTTAAGATAAAATACTGTCTTTCTTATAATATAGTTCTGAAAGTTAAATTTATTATAAAAGCAACACAAAGCCTATAGTTAAGCTACAGTAGTATCTTAAGAACAGGTACTCAGTGATATCTTCATGAATCTTACCCAGGTGCGCCAACAAAATTTCACAGTCACGTGACGATCGAAAAATTCTTTAAAGTTCTTTTGGATTAGGGTTAGAGTTTGGGTTTACAGTAAAATTGCTCAAGGAATTTTTTTTGTTAGAGCGCAAAAGGTGGTTTCTTATGCAAAATTTTGAGAAATAAGCGATTTTTGAAAAACGAACGTTTTGTTTGATCTTCCTAATCGTGTAACGTTACATTAAAACGAGACTCGCTATTGGATGATCATCACGTGAATGTGGGTAGTTTCTGCGTGCATCTATGTGCCCACCGCCAAATTTGGGTTTGTATGACGACCATCGCTTAATTAGGCACATGACGATGATCATCACGTGAATGTGGGTAGTTTCTGCGTGCATCTATGTGCCCACCGCCAAATTTGGGTTTGTATGACGATCATCGCTTAATTAGGCACATGACGATGATCATTTACCATCTATCTATTATCGCTATCGTTACAGTTATCGTTATCATTATGTACGTATGTACGTACAGTCGAAACTTTTTTTTAAAGCAAATCTAATTGCCTTTATTACAAAAGTTATAAGCACACATGATGCTAATTAAAGATTTTTACCCTTATTTAAATTACTTCATTTGCAATATTCCTAATAAGTAGTATACTAAATATTTTAATTAAATATTTTATTTTAATACAAGTAACTCTTGATATAAGAAAGATTTTACGAATCTAAATTGAGAATTTTTATAATAAAAGCATTCGATATAAAAAAATCTTGATATAAGAAAGATTTTAACTGGACCTAGTACAGTAGTAACTTTTTTATATCAAGAGTAACTTGTATATAGATACGTTTGAATTATGAAAAAGCTTTTAACAAACAAGACTTCTGGTATTTAATTTATTACTCAATAGCATCACATTTTATGTTATTAAATTTTAATTTTTTTATTTTTTTTTATTTTTTTTTTATTTTTTTTTTATATGAATAGCAGTTTTAATGCACTTTTACAACAAGAGAATTGATAGATAATAATATATAATTCTATAAGGTAAATATTATGATTTATTTATTTATTTATTTATTATATTAAATTTTAACGTGTTTGTTTTTTAATGTTATAATGAGTTTCTTTTAAATCAGGAATCAGAATAGTGAAATCATCATACAAGAAGGTATCAGATTTTCTTTTTATTCCTGCTTTGACAATTGATTCTAAATTAGCATTAGTCAATTGATTTCGGTCCTCTTGAGAATGCTGGTCCTAAACTTTTTTTTATTGCCTCAACCTAGTCATTAAAGATAATTTTGTAAACCTCTTCTGGCTCTTTTACTATTTCATCAGAGGTATTATATAGTTCTTTTATCATTTTATCTGAAGCATTGTGTGGAATCGATGCTGCATAATATCTTTGATATATAGCAAAAATATGCTTGCATCCATGCCACGATATTTGAAGTCTATGTATATGCATTCAAAATATTAGGTTTTATATTGTTGCTTTGTTGCATATAATTCTCAATACTAACTTCATATTGATTGCATTTTAATGATTTTACAGAGTATTGTCTACCACCAGGGAACCTGAAGATATCCAAATTCAAACTGGCAAGTTTACGTTGTTTCTGTTCTTTCTGTCTGGGTTTCATTCTTCTGATCATTAGTTGAATGGTCTCACATTCAAACTCGGTATCTTTCAACATATTTCATAATGTTTATATTAAAGTATCAATGTGATGATTTTGCTTAGCTTCAAAATAAGTATATTTTAATTTTTTGTATCAAGCTTCAATAAAATTAGTAGTATTCATTTCTTGATGCTTATATAGGTGATATGCATCAATCTATTTTTTACAATTATTTCAATATTCTTTTCTAATGTATTCAACACATTTTGTTTCATTAAATTCTAGTCATTGTGTCAAGTATTCATCCAATTTACTTTTCACCTGGTTAGCATCACTAATTCACATTATGTTGTCAAGCTTATCTAGAGTTGTTTTCTGTGCTATTTGCTTTTCTGACTATTTAAAAACATTGTTACTATTTTTATTTTTTTCTTATGACTTAAAATACTTACTGTCACCATTAATTTTAATTTTATTTTTTTGCCAAGCATTCTTAACATGCCACTGGCATAATAGGATAGTGGCTTCAGGATATACCACATTGATTGCACTTTGTTGTGCATCATCACAATCAATAAGGAAAGTATATGGTTTCCATTCTTTATTTTGTTTTTTAATAGCTTCAAGCCAATAAACTAATGTATTTTTTGATTTTTTTTTCTGATATTAAATGGGTTACAAGTATTTCTTGATCATCATCATTATCCTGAACAAGCAAGGTAAAAAGATTCATTTTGTGTGAAGTTGTTCTATGAATACCATCAATGCAAACTGTTTGTACACTTTTTGATTTTAGCATTCTTCTTTGGAACTCTGTTTGGAAACCATACATGAACCCTAAAGAGGAACCCCAGTTTGGATTATCACAAATATAAGATTTATCATCTTTTGATGAAATAATCCATTCTTTGACAGATACATCCTCACTATAACCTTCTTTTTGGTTTCTTAGAAAAATTACACCCTTCATCTCTTCATTAATTATATTATATATGTTAATGTAAGAGATATATAAATCTTTTTTTTTGTAGTAAAGATAAAGATTCTAGGGCTTCAGAATCATAGATTTGGTTAATATGTTGATGGAACATTGATACAATTTGTGAAGGCTTCATTTCATCATTCACCCTTCCACGAATTCATTCTTTCACCTCTTGGGATATATTAAAATATTGTAAATCTTCTGTAGTACTCAGATTATGTTCATTGTGCAAGGTGTAATGAATAATGCGAACACTATTACCCTTATCATTATGATGTTTTAAAACACATATATAAGATTTGCAGCCTACTTTTTTCGATAGTTTCTGAACTGAGCAAAAATGGCTGTAATTGAATATAGGTTTAGAAGCTTGTTTCATTATGCCAGCAGTTGATTTTGGCTTTCCATAGCAGTGACAGAGATATCTTTCATTTAACTTATATTCTGAAGTCATACAATTGTCTTTATAGTTATAGTAAGCTCCAGCAGCATTTGGAAGGATATTTTTAATCCAGTTCTTATATGTATCCAACCCAAGATGAGTGTAAATTTTAACATAATCATTCATATCTATGCTTTGTGATTCAAGTTCAGACTCATTATAAAATTCTGTTTCAGATTCTTGTGATTTGGCTTCAAATTCTCGAGAATTAATATGAATTTAGGTTCTGGTTTAAGATCTTTTTGCTGCTCAGATTCAATATTTGTATTTGATGATATTTGGAAGGATTGATTGGCACGTTTAACAATGCTATTTATTATATTATCTATATTAATAGATGTGGACGAAGTATACAAGTTTTTATCTAATTTATTAGACATTTTTTTTATTAATAATAAAAGTTTTTTTAGTTTAAATTATGGTATTATCAATTCGGTTTCTAAAGTGATGAAATAGTTTGAGATCTTGCTCAAAAAATATTTGTATGATTTATTATTTCAAGGAAGATAAAATATTTCTTTATTTATACAATTTTTTATATATACAAAAATATTTAATTTCTAATCAAATTTCTTTACAATGCATGAAGCTTTGAACTATTGCTAAATAAGTTTTTAATTCTATTCCCAATATAATCTCATCTAACACTGCATTCTTTCTTTTAATTAGATACAATGCACAATATTCCTTATTACAATTTACTTTAGCAGGGTTTTGTTATGATTTATATTTTTCTTTTTGTTTGAAATATCAAAAATATTTATTTCCATTCTTGTATCAAGTGATAGAATCAGTCTGTATAATTATTGATAATAACGTTTGTTAGAATTACTTAATATTTACTGTTTGTTATTGCAAAATATTAGATTTATTAATTAAATTTTCACTGATGTTTGCATGTATATTTTGTAAATAATCTGTTTGCAGTTATTAGAATGCATATAATATAACTAATATGTTGAATTTTTTTATTAACTAATAATCATGAGGTCCTGTCACTTATAAGTTTGATCCATTATATAGTAAAACTTCTATAAGTACACACTCTTGGGATCAAATTTTTTTTTTTTTTTTTTTTTTTTTTTTTTTGTTATGCCAAAGTAGAAACTTTATTAAGTAATAAAAGTAATTACAT